CATATTAAATGCATTAACTTGGTTGGCTTATTAAATTTCTGTGTGGGATACTACAGTTTAAAAATTAAAATTCTTTCTCAATTAAAGTGGCTTCAGTTTGGTTTATTCATTCAATGAACTGAAAAGGAGTTAACATCACTGATTTCTAAATTCACAGTCTTCATTAATGCAGCTTAATCTTCCTGAGTGCCCACAGGTGGACAGGTGCTAAAAATCTTTGACCCTAAAAATGCAGTGTTAGAATAGAAACAGCTACAACAACATCGTCATTTTAATGAATATAAGCCAATTTGTGATTCCAGTCACGCAATTCTAAAGGAATTCCAGTGGAAGCTGAGCTGCTAAGGAAGATAAGAAACCATAACTTTTAGTAAAGAAGACAAAACGATATTTTGAAGTACATGCTCTTAGATTCACAGTTGTGAATGGAAGATTAGTTTTACTTCATTAGAGAGGATCTTTTGACTACAAAAGCAGCAAGAAAAACACAATTGGAAAGAATATTTATTTATAGAAAAAATAATGAACTCACTCTTTGAATGCATTAATAACTGTATGAATATGCGTTTTTATCACCTGTATTACATAAATGACATTATTAAAATCAATCTGTACACATAAAAATTTACAGAATATTCATCAAAATGGGATTACATAAAGCAATTTTTTCTTACACGGAGAAAAACTTTCACAATTAGACATATAGGAAAAATCAGTGGTTTTTACATAAGACTCCAAGTAATTTCCAGACTTCTATAATCTCCCTGCTTTGGTATCTTAAGTCAGCCATGAAAATGTAAAAAGCAAAACTCCCAGAATAATCTAAGTTTCAGTAGCACACTTACATGGTGCAGGATACTCAATGAAAATAAGACCTACAGCTGTCGAGAGGAAAGTCTTCAGCAGATGTCACGCAGTAATAAGAATGCTGAAAGGAATATCTGTAAATGCCGTGGTGCTGAACATCATTACATTGAAGTTTCCTGTCTGGACTGGTAAGGCTGCAGTGTTCACAGAAGATTCTTGCGGGCATTACACTGAAAGATCTCATAGACAATATTTCACAGTATGAAATATTGTTTAAATAATTCATTGAGAGCTGTTGTATTAAATTACCAGAGGTAATAAATAACTTGAGTTAGAAATATAAAATGTTTCAGAAGATCAGTGTGTGAAAGAAGCCTCACTGTAAAATATCATTAAACATATTATTTGAAAGAGAACCTATATATCAAAGTTGAATTCATTAAGAGCATATTTCTTTTATAAGAACTTCAGTAAGGCACAAGTACACAAACTTTCTGTCCAGTATAATCTACTATGACTCATAGTTACTAATTTTATGCAAAGCTTATGTCTGAACTATTCAGTAAAGCCTTCTCCGTGAGTTTTCCTTGGTGTTAATATGAACTGTTATACAAAAAGGAGATGATAGATTTTTTTTTTCCTTTTCATGCCATAAACTGCAGTAAAGTAGTCCTGAATTCACTAGAAAAACCTATAAGAGTCATCAGATCACTAACACTAGATTCTGAAGGCTATTTTTTTTCTATGGTTGTTTAAATGGAAGATCAAAACACTCCAAAATGAAGGTATGATGATGGTCACTGTTCTTTCTCATGCCTATGTTTCAGCAGTCTTCTGTGACTTTAAAAATAATTCATAACATAGTGCTAATCATGTTTTAAATTCAATACAATTTTAATTTAAATTCAATTATACAATAATAATACAATTTAAATTCAATATAATTTGTAAATTTTTACCAACTTAATAAAAATCAATTCACTTAGTGTTAGAACCCCTCTTTTACAGCCTTTGCTGTGCATGACAAACAAGTCCAATGTTTCTAGGACAAATATTACAGAAAATTATGTATTTGTTCAAGCAAAAAAGGAGAAAAATAGAACATTTGTTTTGAGGTAATCTAATGCAATATATATTTTGCTGCTTTTATGTAATTAAATCTGTTCCATCTTGAAATGTCATGAGATTTACCTAAGCATATACTGAGCAGTGATATTATCAATATTAAAAAGTAGGAATTACTTTTGGTTTTATAACTCATGGTAAAATAGGGAACAAACCATGCAATTACTATAAACAAAAGGATCATATGGCATTTCATGTATTTTCTATGTTGACATGAAAATATTTATCATAAGCCCCTCTAAACCCCTCTCATTCCTTTTGACTAGTGAAATACGATTAAGAAGAAATTATTTGTGACTGGGGGGCAGGGAGGGAGTGGTGTTGCTGGTTAGCTTTCAATGTACCCTGATGTCAGCAATTTTTCAAATGAAAATGCATCAATTGTAATGAAAAAATCCTCCTGAATTCAGGGAGGACCTTTGGAGCCCTATCTTATAGATCAGATGATCTGATTTTTATTACAGCCCCAGTGTCATATACTGGTGCCTTCACTTACAAGCATCCCAAAAAAGGCAGCAGCAATTCAAAACAAAAGTGCTTCAGAATTCAGGCACTTGGATTTTAAAATTTATTCAATTTTTATTGTCTTTACAAAACATTCAGCCTATGAATATCCACCACTTCCCTCTTAAGTTGACTTGGTGCTGTGGTACCTGAAAACTTCTGGTTCCCTTGTTGTGGAATGCTACTGGTATTAAGATTTTTGAGTTCATGGGAAGATTGAATATTCACAGTTCTGGGTCAGGCATTTCCAAATTTGCAAATTTTGAGAAAGTAGAAATTTACGGTTGTTTTTTCTCTGTGCATCTGTTTCTGGTCATTGTTAGCAACAGCATATTAGGCAAAGCAGTAAGAGTTACTCCTAGATTTTAAGTAGCTCAGGAAATCTTTCACATTGGTGTCAAGTGGTGTCTTTGATGGCAGTTTACATTCTCCCTTATTATAAAGTGATGACTAGCTCAAATTAAAGAAAATTAAAAGCAATTCATTACATCCCCTTATATCACCGTTTATCTTCTTTTGTTGGATAAGAACAGAATGAAGATTGTACTCTTGTTTCAGAATATTTAAGAATCAAAAGAGAAAATTCCTTTCCCCAGCCTAAGAGTTGTGCTAAAGCTAAGCATTTATTTGATGATAGATGCTTATTATAATCACTTTCTAACAATTTGCTCAGTAATTAAAATCAATCACGTTGTTTAATTTCTCTTAATTTGGACACTTCAGATTTGCATTTCATATGAAACTCTTCCTTCAAAACTTGATTAGCTGTTTTTAATAATCTCCATTAGTCTTGAATCCTTCAATACACATAATTTTATTATTTTTTTCTCTCACATCTATTTTTGCTTCAGTTGAATCACTGGTCTCAAGATGCACAGTACCTATTTTGCTCTCCTCTTTGGATTTTTAATCCATCTCCCTCCACATTCTAGTCAGTCTCTCTGGACCACGAAAGCTGTCTACCTCATTGTATCTGCACTCTCATTATTTTATCTTTATGCTAAGGTGCCACCAAAATTCCAAAGCAAAGCATGAAATTCTTCTTGTATGCATTGTTAGTGCATAACTTATTAATTGCAATTCCTCATTTTCTATTGAAACTAAGGAATCCCATAACACTAAATTCCAGGTACTTCACCACGACACTGTATTGGGTCTGGCTGAGATGGAGTAAATTTCTCCATAGCAGCCCTCACAGTGCTGCGCTTTGCACTGGTAGCTGGAAAGGTGTTGATAACATACCAATGTTTTGGTTACCGCTGAGCAGTGCTGGCAAAGCATCAGCACTCTCTCTCAACATTCCTCCCCACCTCCCAGTCGAGGGCAAGATCCTGGGAGGGGACACAGGTAGGCCAGCTGACCCAAACTGACCAAAGGGATATTCCATATCATATGACATCAGCTTAGATATAAAAGCTAAGGAAAGGAGCAGGAAGGAGGGGAATTTACTGTTTACAATGTCTGCCTGCTGTGAAATCACTATGTGTGCTCTGGAAGTGGCTGAACACCACTTGCTAATGGGAAGTAGAGAATAAATCTTGTTATTTACCTCTTCGCTTGTGTGTGTACAAACTTTCACTTTTGCTTTAGTAAACTGCCTTATCTCAACATATGAGTCACTTTTCCAGCTTATTTTCTCTCTCCTGTCTGGCTGGGAAAGGGAGTGATAGAGCAGCTTGGCATCCAGCCAAGGTCAACCTACCACAGACACTATGCTTATTCCTTTAAAAGTGAAGTTCAAATTTCAATTTCATGCCCAACCACTGTAGTCACACGATTGGGTAAAACAGTGAAAGGGCTCAAGATTCCTCTGAGATGTCTTCTCCCTCATGCTGCAGTGATGTGGACCTCATGAGCGTGGTCTTGCCTGCTACTGATCTTGTCAGGCAGGAATACAGGGATGTGGCGATTCTGGTCTCAGGTTTTGATAAAAGCATGAGCCTGTACTTACTGTGCTAGATTCAGAACAATTTCTAGTGCAGAATCAAGGGTCATATTTCCATGCCATTGTGATTTGAAAAAAAAAAGAAAGTCTTAAGCCAAAAAGGAAAAAGTTGAAGCATATGAAATGTAAACCGCTAAGTAAGCTTTTATTTCAGTAATGCCCATTTTTTCTTTTTCTGACCTTTTCCCATCCACACTTGATAATCTCTTAGACAGTATTAGAGAAGGCAAAGGTTATAAGATTTATCTGATATACAATATTATAGCTGTTAAAAACCTTGAACTGCTTCCTTTAGGAAAATGAACAGAAAAGGAAAATAAAGAACTGCAAAGATCTTTTAAAAATGTATCTGTCTCCTGTCTCCAGGGCTTTTTGCTACTTGAAGCTTGAAATACAGATACAGCAAGCAGTCTTAACAATCTCTTCAGGTCCTGACAGACCAGCATTATGTAGTTTATGATATTGTTTTCTCATGTCAGGTGCAAACTTGGAGTCATCACCAGCTATGATGCATGTTTTTTAAACAGAAGGCAAAAACAGATGGGAAAGGATGAAGAATCTCAAAACAGATAAACTCTATTTATCTTTAACTTATTTGAACAATACAGGTTTTCCCCTATCAGTGCCAGAAACACTGCACAGATGAGTTCACCAACATCTTTATTTATTACTATACTAGTGGAAATGCAGGGTGAGGGAAGAAAAAAAGAAAGACTGAGCGTGCAGGTTGAGGTGTTCTTCAGTATTTAGAGAGAAAAGTGATGAAGCCTGCTCAGGTCATTATTGCTTCTAAAATGTCACAGTATCCTGGGATCATGGCAATAGAAGTTGAACAACACAGGATTTAGATAATCCTAGATTCAGAATCGTAGGGCTAAAGGAGATTTTAAGAGGTTATCCAATTTGTATCACTAAGAAAAATCAGCTCTTGCTGCATCATTTCTCAGTGCCTTGCCTGTTCTTAAATATCCTTCTTCAGGCAGATGCTGGACAACAAAACTATTTATTTTTGACCCTTACTGTCCTTGCTACTAGAAAAGTCTCCCTAATGTTGAAGCAGAATATATTTTAATGTTTGCTATGTGTCCTAGCGATTATGAAAGTAGATAATAGACATTTCTCTTTCTGCTAGCAACAGCCTGTTTCCACCTAACATATTTTCCTTTCCAGGTTAAACAATTATAATTCTTTGACTCCTTTTTTTTTTTTTTTTTGTAAGATGAATTTCCTAGAGGTTCTCGATTATAATACATCTGGGAATACTCTATGAGTATGCCACAGTTTTCCTGAAAATGCTAAAATTGGGATCAGGTTAAGTTTCACCAAGACAATTTTGAATTGTTTACCTTGGGGTTTTTTGCATGTTACTAGTCCCTTTCAATCTGGTTTGCCCACACAGCACTTAGGTTCACAGCCTCCAGTCCACACTCCCAAAGCCTGATAACTTCATTTCCCTTCACAATATCCCCAACCACAACCACCTCTGATGTTAGCCATCCCTCATTAAACCTCTTAGCTCATTGATTGATACAATCAACCAATTACAAATGTCATTGCACAATCTGTGGGGCAGATCAGGAGACTTTTTTGCTCAAACACAGCTTCCTTGTTTCCAAGTTTGTAGAATTTGTTTGTTTGAGTGTGTTTCTGATCCTGAGTTTGACCTTCCATTGCCAAGAGAAATCTCCAGACACTGTACACCCAACGTATGTGCTCCTCTCCCATAGGCTTGTGCCACATATGCCTTACTTTCATAGAAGTCACACAGATCTGCCTAAACACAAAAAGAAAAGACTGCCTATTTTTTGCCTAGATCATTTATTTATATCTATATATTTGCCTATTACTTCTGTAATAGTAGTTTTCCCCCATCCGTTACAGAAGAAAAAATATAAACAAGTAGCATTCAACAAAGGGCATCTTTACTGAATAAGAAGGCAAAATGAAAGGGTGCAAGAGGAAAGATCTGAGCACCTTCATATAGCTACTGAAACAGAAGAATATGTACCACAATGTGTTTAGCGTACAAGCAGAGGCATTGAGATGTAGGAAATAATCTGCAGGTGTCAGAGTATCCTGCTCTTCTGGTTTTAATCATCATGCTTTACTTCTAAGTATTATCTACATCTCTGATCTTCAGGAAGCTAACACTAACATTTACTGACAAAAATATAAATATAGATACATTAATATATATATGAAGACAAAACATTTTAGTAAGGAAATTTATAAATTAAACTTATACCAAAGTGGCCTTATTTTTAAGACACAGTGCTTTTCCCCTGTTATATCTTTAGGTGGATCCAACAATTGCTGAAATCTTTGAACCAAGGTTGCCAATGAGACTACCAAGGGGGTCAAACACTCACTGGGCCTTGGTGCTGCCGGAGTACTGCACTGCCCAAGAAGATAAAGAAAAATAGGCCTGTAGATATTTGCTGAAAGGATGTCCATTTCTTTAGATATCAATAAATAAAAGACAGTTCCTACCTAACTTTTTAAGAGATACCTAAAGGTGCAGGCTTCCCACTGTTCCTTCTATTTGGTACCTGCTATCTCACACTACTAACTCACCTCACAGCCTTTAGCCACCTTCTTTGATAAGATCTTTGATACTACCTATTAATACCACTAATGTCACATTAACATAATGATTTTGAATAAAAACAATTGCAATAAACCTTCCAATATTTTGGTCTTTGTCATCACAATGACTTCCCACTCACAGAAATATTTGTTTTGGTGATCAAAGTAATAAAGCAAAAACACAGACATCAGCTCTCTGAAAGTCTTTCTGCCATCCAAAAATACTAGCATTTTATAAGCTATGATTCCAAAGATACAAATCCGGGAGCATAGCAGTTTATTATCTCTTTACCATTGTTGCTGAGTGACGTCTGCCAAGCTGCTGCATACATAAAAAAATATGTGCGTTTCACCTTTAAAATGTGTCTTCATCTTTTAACTCTTAGCTCTCTCTTGAGAAACAATATATATTAAGAGATTACTTCGTTCTTCTTCACTTCCAGAAAAAGTTTTAAGCTTGAGTCTGTTATCACACACTCTGCATTAAAAGGAGCATTTTAAAAAGATCAAGATGAAACAAAAATCCATATCCTTTTTCTCTAACCGTATTTTGTAAATGCCAATCCAGCTTCTTTTCCAGTGTATATTTAGATGCTGTAAATTTGAAGGCAAAATGTCTGAAGAACAGTAGAATTCTTTTTTTTTTTCTCAAACACAGATGCAGAGAGATTTTGTTTACTGTTTACTGTTTACAAGTGAAGCCTGTAAACCCATGCCGATTTATTTTTCGAACTAATCTTGACATTGACAGAGGGAAACAACTTGACTCAAATGGAAGCTAGTTTAGAGAAACATGACTTACAAAAAAAAAAAAACCAGACAAGAGTCAGAAAGGTACCTTTTTACGACATCTTCTCCATTCCAACATGGGAGTCCATCTGCAGCTGCCAACTCGTTACTGCACATCTGGTCAGCCAGGCCACCATAAAAGGCTCTGTAGAGCCGGAGGTGGCTGATAAATTCCCTGCACAGGGGAACACGAGAAATAATAAGCAGTGTCAATCAACAACATTATTGTTGTGCATTTATACAAGAAAAAAAGGAATGTGCTTATTCCATTACTCTCCACTGGTTCCAGTGATATTTTAAATCAATTTGTCAATTTCCTGATAGATAAGTTTAATTGTTTCAGATACACTTTCATAGTTTACAAAGTTGATATTCCCACTGATCAAATAAAAAAAAAAAAAAAACAAACACCTACTTTACTCATTCTCTGGAACAGGAACTATTTTCCTTCAACCTGAAATTGTTTTGCATAGTTGTGATACTGTTTGTAATGCTATACTTGGACCAATAAATGAAAAAATGTTTCAAAAAAAGCAGCACAGCAAATAAAAAAATAGGCGCATATGAATAAGTCACCTCTTTTTCACAAGAGCTATCAACTAGTCCCCTACGCATCTTTACAGATACTACAACGAATATTTGTTAAGAGTTGTGCAGCAACTCAGGATTTAGGTAAGATGGGTAAGATGTAGGTGTTAAATATTTAGTGGAGATTTAAATAACTGCCTGAAAGATTACATCAGTTCCACCATGTGCTGTGCTGGTATGTTATAAATTATGTATTGTTATTTTAAATAATTGTCAAGATACCCAGAGCTAATGATAAGGTTTTGTACTTACTTCAAAACAAATTAATCCTTTTTATTTAGTATGTTCTTAACTGAATTGTGATATTTTATATAAATTGTTTTCTTATGTATTGAACATTTCTTCCTGGGACACCCCTTCCTGCTGTGAAAAATTGAAATATTTATTCATTTTGGTGTAGAACATCACACTTTACTGAGTTATCTATGACCTGCCGGCACACAGAAAAGCACCACCAAATGCTGTACTCATTGCTCTGTAATCCAGTAAGCTTCACTTTATGTTAACTTCTTGTATAGAATCTGGAGTTGAGAAACAATGCCAGAAATAATCCACGTATTTCTCCATATTGTGTCAATGTAGGCCTAAAATGGTATAAGGAATTAAATTAAGTACTGTTTACTTCAAATTAAAACAGATAAAACATCAGTGATTACAGACAGTTCATCATTTAAAAAGCCATATGTTCTTTCATGTAATACGACAAATATTTTAGAGAAATCACAGTGATTTTGATTTACTATGCCTATTAAATGTGATGTGAATGCTTTACTAATTCTAAAACTACAGTAATGAAAAATCTTATGTATGGTCAATTTCGACTATGTATCATATAACTGCCTATGTGCAATAGATTTTAAATATGAAAATATGACTCATCCACACTCTCCTAGCCATGAATAGTCACATCTTTTATTTCTCCACACCCAAAACTGAATCCACTGTGCACAGTGTGTTTGCAATTTCCCTACAATTCCCATTGAATGGGACTGATTTAATTTTTGTCTAAGCTTTACATTTACATTCAGGATGAAAACTAGTGTTTAGAGTCCTCACAACGTGAGTAGTTGGAATTTCTTCTGTAGAAGAAACAGAAATAAATAAATATAGCTGGCATAATATCTTGTCACAAACTGCATTTTAACAGAAAGGTCATTCAGTTTATTAGTAAGTACAACCTGAGCAAAGCTAAAGTTAATAGAGAAGTAATAACTGATATCAGCCCCCACTGATGTCTGACCAAAGCAGTTAGAAGGGCAGATGGTATGAATGTCAATTTTCACATCATCATCTTTGAGACCAGATAGCATGTAATTATAGGCAGCTGAGCACAAATGTGCAATTACAGTCAGTGGAAGCCGAAGATACTTTTTATCTGTTTATTTGAAAATGTTCTTTTTTTCTTTTTTTTTTTTTTTTCTCATTCTCTGTGCTAAAAGCTGTCTGTAATATTAAGTTCTGAGGAAAAGCATTACATACTTTCAAGTTTGTATGTTGCTATGGAAGGGTCTGTTTAGCTTTTTTTAAAATTCCTCTAGCAATTTTTTGGCATGAAAAGCACAGAGAAATTCTTTTTCTTCTTGTACCACACAGTAGCAGAAAATACCAGCTTAAGTCCAATGGTAAAAATAATTGAGGAAAAGTTCAGGTAGAAGCAGTTCACCATGTATTTTAAAATGTAAACTTTCATTTGGAGGTGCAACTGAAAAACATTAGGAAATCAGGAGTCACATATTTAATGCAATTTTTTCATTCATTTGTTTTCTCTCAGGTAACTGTCATTGATAAAGTTTCCAGTTTGGAGAAGCCCATTCTTTTCTGCTAAAGCCTGTGAAAGTTGCTGAGAGCAAGCTGCTGCCAGAAGTACATAGGTAGTAAATAAGGTGGAGTTAGAGAAGAACACTTCCTTAAAAGCAGGTTGCAAGCATTTGCTGAAATCTCTCTTTCATGTGAGGTTCTTACAGTTGCCATGGGAATATAAAGTGAAATATAAAGTGATTGTGACTAATAAGGAAGGAGGTGATTCAGGAGGCAGTAACTGCAGGTGATACCAACTATGAAGCTGTTAAACCAAAATCTGCGTCAGTGGATCTCAAACTTTCTTTCCCTTCCTCCTTTCTGGTGCAAAGCCTGTGGCATGCCATAAAGGGTCTCCAGAATCTCCAGGCAGGTAGATATCAAGGGAAAACAATGTTGTTTTTTGTTGCCAACTGTCTTCTCCTGCCCCTTAGGGTCTCTTGGGATATCTCCCTTAAAGTCAGTCCAGTGTTCAATCTTGGTTTAAGTGACATTTTAGAACATGGTTTGCAGAGTGTTAGTGATCAGAAAACATCAAGAACTTGCTTAGCTACACATAACTGAGAAGTATGTGACTGTATAATGGGTATTCCCTAATGAACTTCTGTTCCGGCTAAAGCAAACTTCTCTTTCTGTTCCCATAATGTTTTCCACAACTTTTGCTATGCATTTTGGTTTGGTGTTTTTTCTCCACTGTTGCTACATGAGGGTTGTTACACTAAAAAGAATGATCTGCCTTTGAAGCTCAGAGGTTCCTTTTCTTCTCCAGACATCAGGAGTAAGCAATTATTCCCTGCAATTTTCTCACTTCTGTTTCTTTCTGCACTGCAAAACAAAATGAGAGCAGAAAGAGGACAAAGAAAATTTCTCTGTATTTTAGCAAACACTGTGACAGAAATGAAATTTCTGATTTTAACTTTGTACTTTATTTGCATAAAATAAGGCCTTTAGTCTCACTGTAACACTATCCTTACATCTTACAGTGCTATTACTACTTACAGTCATTAAAAACTTGATTCACTTGTCTAAATATAAACTGGCCTTTGAGATGCTTTCAGCTATGCAGGATACCTGCAGAAAGCTGGACTATATGAAACAACTTAAAGTACACCTGCATCCTTCTTGGCAGGAGTAGATCAGTTGGGATACCCCAGCATATCCTTGAGTGGTACTGGATGCTTGTAGATGCGTGGGTAGCTGAAATGAGTTCTCATTTCCACAGACTATAACAGCAGCTTAAGCATTTAACTCGTAAGCAGTTAGGCAAATTTCACCCTGCAGTGCTGAGACATTAAATGAAATCTCCAAGCCTTTGCAGTCACCTCAATTCACTATATGCTGGCAAAAGAGCCAGAGAAAAAAACAGCTCGTCTTGCTTGAACAGGACTTTCAAGATTTAGTCCCAGATGCTTAGTTGTCTCATTTTTTAAACTAGAAAAGTACGTAAGAAAAGCCTTTTTTTCTGTGTTATAAACTTGTACAGATAGTCTTCTATAAAAAGCTACAGTCAGTTTTTGTCAAATTTAATACTGCCTGCTGATGTGCAAAGTTAAAAGTAATTTGAATAATTACAACTTAAAGATAGAGCTAACATTCATATTCTACCAATGTTATCCACTCAAATACTTTAAACCACATCAAATTACTCTGGTCATATGTCCATTATTTCAGAAAACAAAATTTAGTCATAAAATTACTCAATCCAAAATGTAACAGAATAGACAGTGCTGAAATATTTCATTCTTTGGAGTCTTTATTCTCTAGCAATGCATGCCATTGCATTGAATATAATCTATTCTGTTGTAAAATTAATGGCTTACTTTAGTATTTCTTTCTGGCTGTAAAACTAATGTCTTACTTTCTTCTGTTGGTGAGTGTTTCTTCACTGTCTCTTGAGAACATCTTCAACCCTTGATTATCTTTGTTCTGATCAAAGGAGCAACCTGGAGACTGTGTAGGCTTCCTTACAGGAGGACCACATATCTTTTTCACCTAAACAGAAAAAAAAGCCACAAGAAGAAGGAAAGAACACATGTAAACAATATTTATTACATATTTCTCAATTCAGTTTAAAACAATTTTAATAACAGAGAGAAAGATCTGTAGACATTAAGCTAAGAAAACCATAATTAATTATAATACTTCTCAACACTATATCCGTAATGAATGAGCAAACACAAAATTAGTCATTTTATAGTAGGAAAAAAATAATAAAGGCACTAATTTTTAAGGAATACCAGGTGTATAAGAAAGTTACCACATGTATTTTATTGATTGTGGTTTTTTAATTTCCATAAGGGAAGTGTATTGCTATGCAGACAGTAACAGTAACCTCAGAGAATATGATGTGTTGTGAACAGCAGTATATTTCCATTTTTTCTGTGATATATCCCAATGACATTTTTAATATGCATTGAACTTTGTGATTTCTTTCAAGGTTGATAAATTATTATGGCAGGTTCAGCACAGTTACACAGAGCATATAGTGAATAGTGAGCATAGTGGAAACTTGCATTACAACATTGCAACATGTTAATTTAATGATCCAAGATGTAAGTTTAATGATTTGGACCACAGATGTTGAATATCAAGGGATTTCATGTCTGGCTTTCTGATCTGGATGTCAGTAGATACAAATTCACATGAAGTCCCATTTTCTTCTTTGTAAAATGTGATACTGAGCATTTTGTACGATAGAGGATATCAAATTGTGTTTATAGCTCATTACTCTTCCTAGACACTGAATAAAAATAATTAGGGCCATATATATTTATTAAGTAAGAGATAGTTCATGCTGGGAATCATATTAGATGAGATATTAAGCAGACTGAACAGCATGTATTTTGTGTAAGCTAGCACACAGGCACTGGTGAAAAACTAAAACTGCGTGTGATTTACGAAAAGTTGGTTTCAACAGGTGGTCAACTTTCTTAAAGGAAAAAGGAAGAGAGGAGATGGCTGTTGGCTCTAAGACAGGGATCCAATTTTTGAAGCTACCATGAGAAGGAGGGTAGAGTGTGTATGTTATACAGCAAGGATTATTGTTCCCTTTTGCATTTAATATCCCCACATGTAGGAACAGAGAAAGCAAATAAATCTCATTTTCAAGTTATCATCACACATAAAAGAGAGAAGTGCAAGTCTCAGGGACCATCTTTCCAACTAAGAACTGCTGTAGTGTTAATTAAGAAATACACTTAATATTTAAAATAGAATAAACACACAATTTTGATGAGTTTGTTGTTATGCATGGTGTAAGAGGTGTTAATGTAAGACTCATTGAAGGTACTTGCTTAGGCCAGTGATAAGAAGAAGAATCAGCATTATTGCTACACATGAATATTGAAAGTAAGAGTAAAGTCGAAATTGAACAGTCCTTTTGGGCTCACATGTGGCTCACATGTCTTAACTCAGGCAGCCAAGTTATAGCTTGAATCCCCTTCAAATGAAATGCATGAATTTACCTGCAAGACAATCATCTCTGGACATATGACTAACATCCTTTAAGGGATTACGCTTTAAACAACCTTTAAAATATTAATTTCACCATTTCTTATCAGAAGCAGTGTCTCTTTGGGCATCATCTTACTATATTTTCTCTTGTTCTTAAATTCAGTTTCCAACCACCCTCACACCATTTTCCCCATTAGCTCTTCTTCAGAGCACCTTATAGCACACTCCACCAGCTTAACTGGACTCTCATTTCCCCCCCCTTTAAGTCTCTACACTTTTTCTAGGCTTCATCCATCCTTACGTGAGTTTTCTCCTTCAGTGCTGCACTTTGCCAGCCTCTGCAGCAGCCTGTCCCATCAGCCAGTCTACACTAATAAAATGCAAATATACCAGAGGGACAAAATATTTTCATCCTTTTACTTGTCTCACTTTTCTCATATTCTCTTATTCTTGTTGATGTGACACAGGGAGCTTTATGCTTATGATCAGCTTTTATAACAAAGCAACTGATTGATTGAGTTGTCTCAGTTCCAGCTTGCCATACAGTGTAACTACTGTCTGTCTCACCAAGAATAAAAATAAGGATTTAACAGAGAGTGAGAGTCAGATCAAGATGGGAAGGAGACCCTGTCTCATGACAGGCATGGATTAGGTGTGTAGGTTGTTGAGGGTCTTAGGTGCCTTGCCTATCTGAACAAGGCATCTTTGCTGTCCAGACACTCACAGAGACTGACTGCAGGGTGGGAGCCTGTGAGTGGAGGAGAAATAGGGTGGAGATGACTCACTGGCTAATACAGTCCCTAAACAGAGGAGTACCAGTTCTTCAGGTCAAGGGGAAAAAATAAAATAAATAAATAAATAAATAAATAGCCTCCAGTTACAATAAACTGAAACCCCTCTATATACATTCAGCTTCCCTAGGAAAACAAGAGAATCCACAGTTATCTGTATTTCCTGAATTTACAATAAAGTTTTGTTATATTTTACTTTAATAGGAACAAAAAAAAAAATATTTTTTACAGTCATAGTGCCTTGCAATATGCATGATACTTGTTTTATATGTGTTATACATATAAACAGTTTTTTCAAAGTTCTGTCTAACAACTTTTCTCTCTGTTCTCTTTGAGTCAATGTCTCCAGAAATGCATTGTGCAATACTAGGAAATTTGCATTCACTGATACATGTAAATACAAACCTTAGCTCCAAACCTAAAATCTTTCTTAAAAATTAATCTTGGTTAAACTTTATACATAAAAATAACATTAAAAGCCAGTAATTATCTGAAATGTCTTTTTAAGAACTTAAGATTTTTTCTCAGTGTTTGAAAATTCTGAAAATTCTATTAAAAAAAGCATTTGCCCAGCACCATATACACCTCTGCCATTCTCACAAAGATATGCATGACAGTAATCATACTGCTGAGAACTCAGTTCTGCTAATAACAGCAACAGCACAAAGTTAGCTTACCAATCTTTAGCAGAGTCACTTACTTATTCAGACATACTTTGTTCAGAATGAGCTACTTCAGCCTGTACAATGATAATGTCATCCTCTCCGTTATCTTTCTCATATCTCTGATGTTCAAACCCCAGGCACCACTGACTGACCAACTGTGTTGGTTCTTCTTTGTGTGTTTGGTACGTTTATGGCTCACCCAGTTGAACCCAACCTGGGTTTTTTAACTGTTCAGTAGTGTCTGTCACTTCTACGTAATGTTTAAATCATTAACTGTATGTGCATGACAAATTTACTTCTGCCTCCCACACTAGCCTAGTCTTCATTACCACCTGTTTTTTTCAGTAAACTTGTGTACATGAAATGGTCATATACTCTTATCTTGCCTTCAGGTGCCTGTTCTGTCTGTGAGCCAAATAATTTATAATCAAAATATTTCAACATTCTGTTTCCCAGTACAGGGCTGATGATACTCTAAAAAAGAGATGAATACAGTTGCCATAATCATGTCTGCTTCTTTTTTTTTTTTTAATGCATTCTTTGTATCTCAAGGAATGAGTACATGTGGTAAATGTAACACCACCTAGTTGTATTTCCTGTGTTTTCTGAAGGACTACAACTATCAGCTACATTGTTTCTTAATTTTAAGTCTTTGGGCTGCAAAATTAACCTTGCAAGAAAAAATTCACGTAGTGCTATTATTGCTAGTCTTGAGAGACATTGACTGGAATCATAACTTTAAAAGAAGGGGAATGAACTAATAAATTACCATTTTGCATCAATATCTGAGCAGAATGCTTTCTTACTATCTTCCAGTTTCACTAGAATGGTATCCCTTCTGAATGTTTCCACAAACTGAGTGGATTTTATTGAGTGAAAATACCCTGAGAAAAGTGAGACTGAAAAATCACCAGAAATATTATTCAGGAGAGAATTACACATCTCACTGAATTTCAGGAAGAATTAAAGACTGCTATAAAATTTTAAAATAGACAAGCCTCAGCAACTTACTAGGAATTTTTTTTTCCTTTGGTGAAATGTTCTTAAGTGTTGCACAATATTTAAGGACATAAAAAGAAACATCAGAAAATGATAAAACTCCTGATTTTTACAGTTCAGAAAAACCTATTGTCATTATACTCAGCATGCTGCTATTATGCACAATTTGTATGCCACAGTATGATGACTGGGTTAATTAAAAGCTCTTGTAACAACCACGCAGTTAAATTACAATTAGTGCCGCACATGAACTTTATGGCAGTTTGATTTTGCTTGGTGTAATTCCTTAAAATGTCAACTTACGGTTACTTACAGTTTGGAAAACTGGGGCATCATAAACCTTTATATTTACACAGGACTGGACAATGATGGCAGTATCATATTAATAATGGTCAGACACTGTTCTCTAAGTTCACATGCTCAGTACAAGAAATCTGACACATTCTTTGTTTAGGTTTTGGTTTGCAGGGGTCTTTTTCCCCACCATAGAAATTATTCTTTCTGACCTCAGCATTTCTACTGAAATTATTTTACATCACATGACTGAAGCAAACTGAATGCACAGTCCTGTAATGCACTTCAAACTAGATTTGCCAAGTGATTAGTGATGCTGCTACTGTGACAGAATTAAGACTCAGGAATCCTGAGACCAATTTGGGTCATACACTGTTGTGAAATACACGGAAAATATAATCATCTACTCCTGCAGTGTGTTCATAGTCTTTTTCACTAGTTCTTACTGCTGTGCACAGAGGAAGAGGGAAGAAAAAACTTCTCTGCATACAAAATCTCTTGGGCTTAGACTCAGCTCTAACCGGGAATCAGAATCAGGAGTCTGAAAATTGCCCTTTTCTTTATGTTTAACTCTTCTATGCACGTTTTCAAAAGTTTAGCAAGGACTGTGAGTTTTTGATACATATATATAGATATGCCGGATTTCCTGTAAATGAGGTATTTGTCAAGTATTCTCTAGATTGATCCAGTCTTTCAGACCTGCAAGGTATCAGAATGGCCATAGTCCATGCAAGTATTAAAAACTGATTTTTTAACTGATTATTTAATGCATGTTTTAGTTACTGATTAG